CTCATATCCCAGTCCGATATACGTACGTGCTCCACGTATGCTCTGGATGCTCTGGATGCTCTCGTCTACAATTGGGAGAGAGAGAAGATCAGCCATCTGTCACGAGACGGCCCATGTCACCGTGAGGAATACGTATACCCCGGGGAAAACAAAGCTTGTTCGGCAGAAATAAGGAGAAAAATCAGCAATGATCACCGTCGTCCCTTCGCTTCTACACTAACATCAGTTCACAATGTATGAAGCATCACAGACCATATACTCTAACTACGTAAGCAGAGACGTCACGGAGTGGGGCTGGGCTTTTGACAGAGGACGCATCGAAGACAGCTAAGCGCTGCAGCTTAATCCTGCTAACAGCCCTAGTGCTTGTGCACAATAAGATAATGAAAGAGAAAGACACAGACCACCTCTCCTCGGCTTTCCACGCCTATCTAGACTTTTCTTAGTCCGAAGCTTAGTGTTTTGGCCTTGTGGCTCGTCATACGACCATACGTAAGCCAGCGTCTTCTAAGCCACATCTCAGTGGAACCAACCTAAGGCAGCAACATTTCAACCCCCCCAAGGGTCTATATTTTGCTTTCTCCAGAGATTGCGGCGCTTCGCTAAGATGATAACTTTATTGTTCCCCTTCGACTACTTACGTAGGTGCATACGAATGCTCCGGTCCGGAGTGGGGCGGGACGACGGATTAGGCTGGCCGGTAGTAAGCGCCGAGGGAGTGTGATGGATGTCAACTGGGCTTAGCTGTTGGCCTGGCCGGGGTCCATGATTCAAATCCGGTGTGGCTGGTTTTTCATCAGGGTTTTCTTTTTTTTTTTTTTTTTTTTTCTCGGCCGGTCGTTTGTTGGGTCCGCTTTTTCTTTCCTTTCGCGAGCTTGGCAAATCGGATTATCCGAGCCAAACGATGTATGACTACGTATTCATCGTCCATCCTGGATAGAAGCGTCAACCCCGTTCAAAACTCGGTGGTATTCGGGGACCAGCTTATTCTTTCTTGTAAGCTTAATTGTTGATTTGCTGAGGGACTGCCAAGGCCAGGAGTTAATCAAATTCGAGGAGCCCTAATTCTGCGGGCTGGCGGGCCTCCTTAGCATCTGCCACGGTCATGGGTATTACTCCTGAGTTTTTTGCAATGGTGATGAGTATGCATGGGTGTAAATTAGCTGCTGCGAATTGTTCCACTAATCTGCGTAAATTTCCGACATGTAGTCAAACTATACAGAATAGTCGTATCAGATTCGTGTACTTTCTGTCCGAGTCGAGGAGCCGGTGTCGTATACCCTGCAGAATATTGTGGGCAACGCGTTGGCTATGAGGGAACTAGCACTAGTGAGGGACACTGGAGGGTTATTGGTGTATCTGCCCTGCTTCAGTCTGTCATACTGCTATACGACGAAAAAATGTCGAGAATACTGGTCTGAATCTTCAGTTGTCAAAACAGTACATTCTAGTTGTGCACACGTCTATGCACACAGAATTGTAGCATCTTGGCCGGTCATCTTACTCTTATGCTAGGACGCTCACTACTCACCTTTGGAATAGAGCGAGCATTGCCCCAGTAGGGTGAAGACTGCTCTGGTCATTGCCGTCATGATGGCCTCCGGTCGGCACCTCAGTATGAGTGTATGTCAGACCTATCTATCCTTCCTCAGTGTCTATGATGAAAACTCACAAGGTGTCTGTCGTCTTCCTAGGAACTCCTCCACACCATTCACCCCCTCTGCCACCTCTTCTACTCGTCTCGCTGCCACGACCCTGGCGTATGATACCCCTCCCCCTCAAATCACGAGCTCGCTCATACCCATCTGCCCACACCCTGTCCACACCCATGAGCTCAGCGGGGCTCAGGGACATCAATAGCCCTACACCCGAGAGCTGACCTGCTGGTGACTCAGTCACGGTCGGGCTTAGAAGATGTTTTATCCACTTCTAGCCAGAAAAGTCTGTCATTGACACAATATGTACTAGGATCAACAACCTCAATCTGTGGCTAGATGCCTTTCAGAATAATCGGCGTGGGTAAGGAGACTGCCCCTTTTCCCTGTGCATGAGATATAGCCATGGAGCTCAATAGTGAAAGGTGCGAAGAAACAGCTATAGGACCAGTGCAACGAAGCCGATGACCTATCTTGAACCACACCGCGGCCAATATATTAGCCAGAGCTGACAGAAACTGTAAGTTGCATATACTGACGACCTCAAGCATCTATCCAGCTATGATAACATTCCCTGCGGTACACAATGCGGGCAACCCACAGCTCACGTACGGTGGCGCGCCTTAGAGAAATAAGTGAATATCCTGGCAACGAAATTGCCTCCCTGTCGAGCCTTGAACCCCGATGCTTACACTTGCGTGACGCAACAACAGAGAAATTAATCTGTTCTCAGATAGGACCGGCTGTGGTTCAGATTTAGATCCTCGATAGCTCCCAGGCGTTGCCACAACACAATTGAAAAGACGTTACCCAGTGACGCGCTAGGGGTAAGTACATTCAGAGCCGTTCGGGGGCGGCTATACCAACCAGGACGTCCACGGAGCAACAAAATTTAATAGCACATATGTCATCGGGTTGAAGGAGTCTCGACCATTTCTGAAGGATCGACTGAGGGCTGGAAACACATGCACATACGTGCTTCGAGGATGCGGACATTGTCCGAGCTGCCTCTGACTTGCGTTCGTGCCTTTTGAGTTGTCGCAAAGAACAATGCCTGTTGAACGATTGCTATCAACGTGACCAAGTTCAACATTATGTGTCCGCAAGCTAATCTTTCAGGGCTTTGTTGTATTTCACTGGACTTAAGAGTTTGACTTTAGATATGAAGTTGATCATACATCCCTATCTTCAAGGGACAAAGCCAAGTGAAACGTGGGCTCATTGTGACTAATGTATGGTAGGCGATGCCCCAGACGCCACTGCAGGGCTGCGCAGGGACCTTCCCTATTGTGGCTAAAGATGTCTCATACCGTGCAGTAGTATCAATCGCATCTATAATAAGAAGCAAGCCTTTGCCAAGTTGCAATTATTTCATGTGATATCTTATTTGGTTGTCATGCACATACGTACTGTCTCGATCAGCCCGCGAAAGGCACAGCGCAAGGTTGCTGGTATTTACTTTGAGGGGGTCGATTCGGATATTTATAGTACAGTTAGTACAAAGCAACATCACTCCTTCCTCTCCAATCAGCTTCGTATACCCAATGCATATCTATTTTCCACATTCTCATGGGCTCATGTTGATTTCATCAAGTGTTCATGCTGAGAAGTGGCGTGAGGATCACTACTGCGTACTACAACTATCAGCAGTTGAGAGTTTGCCCTGGCATGCCGGACACTCACTGGAATGTAGAGGGTATCCCTTCTGACGCAACCCCCGTTTCGTTAATTGGATAACACAACAGATACCGGTTGAAAGTAAGTGTCGGGTTGCTTTGCTGTATCTTTTGCGGAAGATAGTGTGTCCTATGTATGACTGCTCCTATCACAGACTATGACTTCAATTGAGCATCAGTGGCAGCCCCTCAGGTATGTAGAACGCGAGCTATCGGTTTTCACCAAATAAGGCGTGTGTGTCTCTGGTATCCGGGCTGGAGCGAGTGTCCCAACCGCCCCATTCCACACAACGGCCAAGCAACCGCCAGGGGCAGACAGGGAGTCGACCGAAGGGTATATCTAGCGGTTGACGATCGCTCTGCCAAATTCAACCTAATACTTTATTGACTTCACGTTCTCGGTTCATATCCTCCGACCTGATAGTTCTCTGCACCACCGCTTATTACTTTTCACACATCCAACCCATTTAATTTTGATTGTTTGAAATCAAGAAAAATGGCGTTGCTTGCCAAGGCATCATCCCTAGCTTGCCTGCTTGTTCTGACCTTTCTGGCTCTTGCCTCTATCAGCCACTCGCACCCCATCGGGGAGATCTCCAGATCTGCGACGTTGCAAGGGCGCAATCCGGATCCGGTATGTCCCAAAGACACTGCATTGATTAGCAACTGGGAAAGAAAACCACTAACCGTGTATGACAGAGAATGATACCAAGTTCCAATGATTTGGTCGGTAATATCTTCAAAGGTCTTGGATTGGACAACTTCGAGAAGCTCAACCAATGGAAGCAAAACCAAGCCACGGGTGAGAGTAGTAGCACCACGCCTACCAAAGCACAGGCACAGGACAATACCACCCCCAATGACGACCACACCCCAAAGCAGGCGGCCCCGAGTGGCCTGGCGGACCCTGCGAGCGACCCCTCCGGTTTTGTGTCGGGGTTATTGCAGTTGCTAAGGGATAGGTTCAAGCAATCGTTGCATAGCAGTGATGAACACACCTTGAACTAGGTGATCATGAGTGTGATGGGACTGTGACAGTTGATGATCTAGATGCTTGGCCTGTCTTCTATTGCTTTGTTGGTTCTTCTTTTTCTTTCTTGTTCAAATCAATTCTGTGTTAATGCTCTGTTGAGCAGCTGCGTTCCCCAACGAACTCTATCAGCGGTGTAACGATTGATGACGGGATGGGCAATGGCGAAAAAGTTCCGAAAATGTTAGTAATACTCAATAGATTAGCTCGAATACACCTAAATGGCAACAATGGCATTCACTGGAGAGCCTCGGCGTCGGTCTCTTATGACCGCGTGCTCGTCGAGCCGCAGAATCTATATCCTCCCGGCATACACGATAAATCCGCACCCTTAAATCCGTGCCGTGTGGTCCGGCGAATCTTAGTAGGAGAATATACTCCACTATGACTCCATACCTCTACCGTACATAGTACCAGTCACTGATCCCTTTGATAGTCACACCACAGACTCCCAACGGATAATGGCCGAATGACCGATTTCTAAGAATTATTGATCTCTGACGGCAGCCAGATGGGGCGATAACCCAATTGGGGTGTGGTGATGGAGGTTCGCTGCAAGGTCCAAAGCTTGATATGAGCTGGAGTATACCGCCAATTCGCTTTTATAAACCGCCGCTTTTCGCCTCTCCAGTGGAGATCCTCTCCCACTTCATTCAAACAACTTCATCGACTGGCAATTGCACTTGAGTCGCACCTCAATTGTTCGGTTTATTATTCTCTGCTCTCCTCCGTGGCTTTTCTTTTTCTTTCTTCTCCAGCTTAACACAATTTAATCGTTCTTGCGATACCATGCCTTCTCTTGTTGGACGGGATATTGGCCATACTGGCTATGGGTTGATGAGTATGTAGACTTCTTTCTTTCTTTCTTTCTTTCTTTCTTTCTTTCCTCTTTTCGTTGGTGGAATTCGCAGTTATAGTCATGTTTTTTCTTGCCCATAATACAATATGCAAAATGCAAGCAAAGAAAAAAGAGGAAAACAGATTCAAACCACAGATAGTTAACCCCCCACTGCAGGAATGACTTGGGTCCCTCAACCACCCCCGCAAGAACAATCCTTCGAGGCCCTGAACACCGCTCTCTCTCAGGGCTCCAATTTCTGGAACGCCGGTGAACTCTACGGCACACCTGAACACAACTCCCTGCATCTGCTCCATAATTACTTTGCCCAGCACCCGGAGAATGCGGACAAGGTTGTGCTCAGCATTAAGGGTGGGTTGAAGCCAGGCCAACTGGCGCCGGATGGCTCCGAGGCCAATATTCGGCGCAGTGTGGATGAGTGTCTGCGCGTGTTGGATGGGAAGAAGAAGATTGATATCTTTGAATGTGCGAGACAGGATCCCAAGACTACCGTGGAGCAGACGGTGACTATTCTTGCGCAGTATGTTAAGGAGGGGAAGATTGGGGGCATTGGGTTAAGTGAGGTTGATGCGGAGACTATTCGGAGAGCGTATGTTTTTTTTTTTTTTTTTTTTTCTTTTCCTTCTTCTTTCTTTTTTTGGTTTCTTTCGTGCACCTCTAGCTCTATGATTCTTTGACCCTTGGTTTCTACGGCTCACATTTTATACTGGATTATGACTGACTCAAGCATACAGACACAAGGTACACCCGATTGCGGCCGTAGAGGTTGAGCTATCTCTGTTCGACCTCACCATCCTCCAGAACGATGTCGCCAAAGTATGCGCGGAACTCAACATCCCCATTGTGGCGTACTCGCCATTGGGACGGGGTGTCCTGGCCGGCGCCTTCACTACCGCCGCCGACATCCCCGATGGTGATTTCCGGAAGACGCTGCCCAAGTTCCAAGACGAGGCAATGAAGCACAACATCAAGCTGGTCAACGAGGTCAACGACCTCGCCGCTCGGAAGGGCGTTGCACCCGTTCAGATCGCACTCGCCTGGGTTCTTACCCTTAGCGACAGGCCTGGCATGCCTACGATTATCCCTATCCCTGGGGGCACCACGAGCGCCAAGGTGACGCAGAACTTGCAAGCGCCTCGTCTGACCGATGCAGAGATGGCAGAGATTGATGCAATTCTGAAGCGGAATGAGATTGTTGGGGGTCGGTACTGAGGGGGTTACGGTACAGTAATGGATGATTCGATTCTCAATCATGTCTTGGTAGATTTGTCACTATATGATGAACTAGATAATGAAAAACAAAATAGATTTCAAGAAATTGTTCAATATCCTTAGAAGGGATACAGTATCCTAGATGGTTCTGCGATAGTTAGCGCTTTGTTGTCCACAATGATGATGGAACAAATTGTGCATAACGAATCAAGTCAGATCAAGTGTAGAAATGTCAACATCCAATCTCGCCACAGTAAACTGAGGAGATTGTCCGAATTGCAGAATTCTTATAGAATAATCATCATGCAAACCAAGGACTAGATTATCAGTAGGGTACGTACCATTAGCCGAGGTTACAGGGTGGTAGTCGACACTCCAGTTCGGTCTGGTATATACAAACAATCCGTCTAATTAAGGATATCCTAGTTGTAGTGGTAATCGGCTGGAAATGCCATTTTAAATCCAGACGATTGACGTACAAAAGGATGTGCAATCCACACCGAGAGAAAGTAACACAAGGAAAAGGGGGGAAGAAAGAGGTAAAGAAGGAGAGAAGGAAAGAAGGAGGGAAAATGTTGTGGGCGGTATTTTGTCCGTCCGCAATAGCCTCGTCACGTGCCGTGCGGGCTGTATACTCGATCGCCCCAGCCTTAACACCTCTATTGACTGATTGACGCTTTGTTCCGTCGCAGGACCACCCGGTGTTAGTCCCTGTCGAACAATTGATTTCACTGATTCCTCCCCTACTGATCCTCCCCCGCTCTCTCCCAATGACCGAATCTCCGGGTTCCCCTCTCTCTTCCATCGCCTCCGACGACATGTCGGATCGCGAGGAATTGAAGCAGGGCTTCTCCCCCTCGGCCTCAAATATGCCTCCTTCCAAGCGCCGCCGCACCGGCATCGCATCCTGGGATCGCAATACCCCCGTCTCAACCACCTTCCAAGATGACATCCCTCCGGCCTCCCCGTCGTCTTCCATCTCCTCGGACACCTCGGGCGACATCCCCAACTCCCCCGGCATCCTGGCCCTTATCGGAGGCGGCCAGGACGACGACTACAGCGGCCAAGGCAACGACCAGGTGACCGTATGCCGGTGGGAAGGATGCGATGCCGGAGATCTGGGAAACATGGACGACCTCGTCCAGCACATTCACAACGAGCACGTCGGCAGCCGACAGAAGAAGTATTCCTGCGAGTGGTCCGACTGCACTCGAAAGGGCCAAACGCATGCAAGCGGATACGCACTGCGCGCGCATATGAGAAGCCATACGAGAGAAAAGCCCTTCTACTGTGCGCTACCAGGTGCGTTCATTCCCTTGACACGACGCCGGCCCCCTCATTCGGGTGAAGTAAAGGGCGAAAGAAAAGCAAAGTAAAGGCTAACTTACGACCAGAATGTGACCGCAGTTTCACCCGTTCAGACGCCCTCGCCAAACATATGAGAACAGTTCATGAGACGGAAGCTCTTCGACCTTCTGATCCCGTACCGAAGCACCATAATGCGCCGTCCGCCGCTGGCACCCCTGCAGGGACACCCGTGAGCAAGCTCCAGCGCATCAAGTTGAAGCTTTCGCATCCGCCTAAGGATGAGTCCGAGCAGCCTAGCGAGAGTGTCACCGATGAGAACAAGCTTTTGGACGGCTATCTGGACGAGTGGGAGGACCCCAGGTACAAGCGCGAGCTCGGCTTCGAGGATTACGAGTGCTCGCTTCCGCCGCAACAACTGTATCGACTCCTCCGTCGACAAATCCACTGGGCAGAAAAGGAAACAGCAGATCTACGCGATGAGTGGGAGAAGATCCTGCCAAAGAGAAAACATTCGTTTCTGGAGAAGGAGGCCATCTTCGAAGACGTCTGTGATGCTGAGCTGCGACTATTCAGTCTCCTCATGGGCAGCGACTCCGCAGCGCCCGTGTCATCAGCCGCTGCCACAAACGGAGCAAAGAAGCAGCCCGAGGCAGCAGCAGATACGGAAATGACACTGAACCCGGAATCAGAGTCGGTAGCAGCATAAAAGAGATACTCTGCTTTGTTTTTTTTACTTTGGTCGGTCAACCTACGCCTCCTCGACCTCATCTCTCCTTCTACAATACCTTATCCTCCTCTCCTCATATCTCTTCCCATTCTCTTATCTTCTTCCCTGTCCTTGTCTTCTAGGGGTATAACTTTCATGAACCAAGATACCTAATCGGATCATATTCTTTCCACGTTTTGGAGCACGGTTGTCAGTCATGGTGTGATTTCTCTTGTTTTCGGTAACACTGGTATTGAATTTTGTTATTTTGTACTTTTATGGAATAGGAATTCGATCCTTGCTTTTCACTGCACCTGCCATACGCTTAAAGTGTTATATAGATCTAGTCAAGCTGTCTAATAGAGAACGGAGCACATAGGTCGTTTGTAAGGGTAGAACTGGCCCGAAGCTTATGCCACATGACCAGTTGGCTACCTTCATTTACTTAGCAAAAGAGAAGAAAACAAATGAATTGAAACATGATCTTTTGTTCATTTCGTTTTGTCCATTTATCAACACAGATGGCAGATAGGGTTATCGATAGATTTAAAGTCGCAGAAATCTCCGACCACAATCCGAGTAGCTCAGAAAGAAATAGAAATCAGACGTCTAATGATATCTCAATATGTCTCCTAAAGGAGATAGATGATCCAAAGCAGAAGTCAAAACTCCGGGAGGCACCGCCAATAAGATACATGAAATGAAGTGAACACCCATGACCGCAGGGCCCACTGCCAGTGAAGGGGGGTCCCTGTTGTGGAAGAAAACGCGAGAAGGGAGATAGCAACGAAAAGCAAAATGTGAGGTAAGGTCCATCACTCCGTGGAAACGGGGGGACCAGGCTCAGGAAAACAGATATGCGAACATGTCAGCAAGCCTTTTGCTCCAACCGCAGAACAGAAATAAATGTGAAACATAAAAAGCCAAGTTATATCATGGAAACATCATATCAAGTCCACTCATGCTCAACACTCCTTCATATATCATACCAGACGCCGTCGCCATGCTTTCCCAATGATGCATATTTACCGTGAATGAAGAAAGTAAGAAAGAAAACGAATACACCACAGAATCGAAGTAGACGATCTTTTTTGTTTTGCTACACCATGCGAGCACCGCGCTAGCTTCCATTGGAAGCTGGGGCGGCAGCTGCAACTTTCTGCGCAGCCATCAACTTTCGATACATTTCTTGGAGTTTGGCTCCTCCAGCTTCTTTATTAGGCCAATGATTATCCGCCACAAAATGCCTGCTCATTTAGTCAGTGAGAGATATTAAGACAATAAATGCGAGAGACAAACCATAAACGGGTCTCTAAGGCATGAACAGAGCCTTGTCCCTTCAAAGTACCATCTATAAATTCACCGATCTTACGGAGAAGATTCCGTAACTCGGAAGCCCGCTCCGCTTTACTCGGGTAGTTCTCCTTGGTAACAGCCGAGACCTTCCTGAGGTCTTCACGAATGGGCTTGAAGAAGAGGCGTGCGACGTCCTCCTTGCCTGCAGAATAGCCGTTCTCACTATTCTTCCGACGACGAACATCCTCACTCGACGCATCGGAGGTCCTATGGCGGGCGCGTTCGCTCTCATGAATAGACCTTGGTCGGGAGTCGTAGTTCGGGGTGTGATGGCGTTCAACGCTATCCCGAGCCCCATGAGTATGAGAACGATGCCTTGACCGATCCATCTCACGATGGCCTTTGCGTGAGATCGAAGGCGCGGGAGAAGCAGAAACGCTAGTACTAGCGTGGGGCCGAGAACCTTTGCGATTATTGCGGTGGTGATTCTCAACAGCCCTCTTAGCGTTGACGCTTGCACCATTGGTAACTTTGTCTTTGAGAACGGATAGCAGATAATCTGCCCGGCGGACAAGGTGAACAGCGCCAGGAGACTTAGTAGACTTATCTTCTGCATTCAGGCGCTCGTTTTTCCGTTCAACCCGGTGCTCCTCAAGGAAAAACTTATCCCCAAGTCCAAGATCTGGATCATCTCGAATCTGAGCCCAGGCACCATAGCCGTGACGTATGATGCCAATGCAAAGCATTCCATCTTCCCGGGCACCCCATGGACAGGAGTAGTCAGCCGCCTTGGTGGCTTCGGGGACCCGAAAATTCCTGAAATCAGACAGTGCGTTTGTCGCTTCCTTCAGGATCCGCATCTCAGCGGGGCGCTCAACGATGGTATAGGCGTTAAGACGCTTAACACCGTGTAGATCAAAAAGAACAGCTTTCTTCTCCTTCTTAGTAGGCATTTTGCCGGCATGTTCAAGAGCTTCCATCTTCTCAACATCCTCGCGGACAAGAGAGGAAGCCTTCTCAGTGATCTCACGAAGTGCAGCCTTAACAGTCTCCCTGTCACGGTCCAGCAGACGCGCCTCACGAATAACATCCTCTTCGCGATCATCTATATCACCATAACGCAAGAAGGCACGCAACAGGTGGCGATACTCCTTCTCTATAAGTGGCCGTTTTGGATCCAGTTGCGTATTCGAATCGGATTCGTCGCCATCATCAAGGGCAACTTGAGCCCTCGCTTGTCTCTTTGCTTTGCGCTCTTCGCGAGAATCTCGTCCGTCCCCAGGCACATTACGTTTGCGTGGCCGATTTTGTTCGATAACCTCGGCGAGATAGCGTTCGTCAGCCTTCTTCTTCTCCTCAGCTTTGATTTCCTCCAGCTGCTCCTTGGGGATAATATCGTCCCATGTAAGGTCATCGACCTTGATATCGACGTAGTCAAAGGCCTTGAGAAATTCTTCACCGCCATCAGCTTGGATCTCCTCGGCTTGTTCGGTCTGGTGCAATTCTGCATTTGCAAGCACGGAGTCAATGTCAAGCTGCTCCAATTTCTCTTGGTTTCCGGTCTGTTCGAACATTCTCTGGCCACGACGCTTGAGAATACGGGAAATATCCTCGGTCGAGTTTGGTTCAGTGATGGAAATTCCATTTCGCGCCATCTTGTTTTGGATCTCTGATGCTTCCTTGTCGGTGACACCACGCTGAATCGTGATGAATTCCAAGAGAAGCTTATTCCGGGCCCTCTCAATGACTTCCTCTTCCACTGTATCTTTCGAGACTAGACGATACACGCTAACCGGCCTCGTTTGTCCAATACGATGTGCTCTTGCCATGGCCTGCAGATCGGCCTGGGGATTCCAATCCGAGTCGAACAGAACAACTGTATCAGCGGTCATGAGGTTAATTCCTAGACCACCTGCTCGTGTAGAGAGGATGAAGGCGAAATCGCTGCTTCCAGGGGCATTGTAGTGCTCGATGGCCAGGCGGCGAGAGGCCGCCGGAATCGTTCCATCAAGCCGTTGATACGTATAGCCACGAAATTCCATATACTCGCCAAGAAGGTCAAGCATTTTAACCATTTGACTGAAGATTAAGACACGGTGGCCGTCACGTTTCAACTTTGCTAAAAGCTGGTCGAGAAGCATCATCTTGCCACTGCTGGTGATCATGGCTCTCAACACATCCTCTCGGCGAGTGCTGCCGTCCAAAATCTTCGCTTCAGCATTCGGAAACATGAAAGGGTGGTTACTGGCTTTCTTCAATTCCATCATAATGTTCAAAAGGGACTGTTTTTGGCCCTTAGCGCCATCGTTCAGCGCAGCATAGTTCTTTGTAAGAATGTTCTTATAATACTCCAGCTGAACATCCGACAGCTCTACTCGAATGATCTTTTCCACCTTGGGAGGCAAGTCTGATTCGACTTTAGATTTTGTTCGCCGAAGCATGAAAGGTTGTATGGCCTTAGTCAACTCCGCAAGCTTGTGAGAGGCAGCCTCCGCGTTCAAATCCATGTCGGCATCAATTTCAACCATGCCAGGGTTTAAGAAGTCCAGAAGGGCAGAAAGTTCAGCCAGGTTATTCTGAATAGGAGTACCGGTAATAAGGAGTCGAGCAGGAGACCTAAACTCGAGGAGCTTTGCATAGAGCTGAGATTCACGATTCTTGAGACGGTGTGCCTCATCGATAGCCATGAATTGCCATTTGAATTGGCTCAGGAAAGAGGAGTCAAGGAGAACATATTCATAGGTTGTTAGGAGGACGTTGAATTTCGGCCGTCGAGGATTGCCATCAATCATGAGCTCGTGCTCTCGCAAAACTGTACGAGCAGCTTCGTTACCGTTGTAGACAACATAATTCAGGTCGGGAGTCCAGTTATCGAACGTCTCCGCCCAGGAAGGCATAGTAGACAAGGGGACGACGACGACGAAAGGCCCTTGCTGGCGTCTAACATGCCGTAGCCAGTTAATGAATGAAACAGTCTGTACAGTTTTACCTAAGCCCATTTCGTCGGCAAGAACGACATTGCGGTTCTTGACCCAGTTGAAGGCCATAAAATTGACACCCTTAACCTGAAACTCCTTCAACTCGCCGTTGCGCAAGAAGCTTGGGGTGCCCTTGATAGCTTCAAAGGATTTTCGGCTGGCAGGGTTGGTCTCCGACTTGTCGGAAACTGGAGGCCGAGAGGAACGATCTAAGAAGCGATCTATTTCGCACTGAGCAATTTCACTAACGAGTTCCTCGTTTTCCCATGTGCAGGAGTCGTAAAAGAGGCGTTTCCATTTAACGAGGTATTCGGCTCCCTCGTCGCCATCCCGCGTAGCAATGACTCGCTCAACCTGTTTGTAATCCTCAATGGCGTCTACGTCTCTTTCGCGATCAAGGTTCCACTTTTCCCGATCCTCGGGGGCTACATCCTCGTCTTGCCTCAAGCGAATGTCTTCATACAGGACCTTTCGGATGTAATTGTCAAGGCGGCGCGTGCTGCGGCAGTTGGCAATAGACTCGGCAGTTTCCCATGTTGCGTGGTAATGGGATTTGCCTTGCCATTTTATGTAGAACTCGAAGTCATGACGATCGAGGTCGGTATTACTAGAGTCTACACCTGCTTTCAGACGGTGGTTGAGAACAACATCCACGGCAGGACGATCATCTTCCACTGCATTCACCCAGTAGTTCTGCATTAGATCATCTGGGTCTTCCTCGAACAT